AACCGTATCAAATATGCAGGATTACGGTATTTAGCTAGAGCATTGCAAAGCAACACAGTGATTACAACTTTGATTTTTTGTTCTCTCCTATTTTTTTATTTTTCTTTTGCAGACACTACGCAGAATCGATCTTATTGATAATGAGATTAATGAACAAGAAATTCAATCTTTGGCTCAAGAATTTGAAAATACCAAAGTTACTTGCAGCATTTTCTCGTCTTGCACATACACATCTTTATTATATTACAGGAGTCTCAAACAACCGACCAACAATTGAATGAAGCCATGGCGAAAGGCGCAAATCATTTATGTGATAAATTAACAATAAACAAGGTAGCATTTTGTTCATTGACCATCATGTCTCTGTTTTTTTTTCTTACAGACACTTCTTAGACTTCGTTCAGGTGAATATGATATCAAGAATAGTATTGGAAGACAACTGAGATTATGTACGGAAGAAAATGATTGGGCAAATGGCGAGACTGATCGAGAGAGATCTGAAATAGACTGAACCTAATATTCGCGCATACAAGTTAAGACAATGTAGAATATTTCGGTATTACTTATTAAAACAAAAAATATTCATTTATTAGTCTTAGTCATTTTTATTCATCGTTAAGCTGATACAATTGTAACTAATGTTATGATGAGATTTTTTTTCATAAATATAAAATCTAGAATCAGATAATCTTATTGATTCCATATTTATGAGAGAATAATTCAATAGAAATGGCATGAGTGTGTGTGTGTGGATACAGTCTTTGTTTGTATAATGATAAACAAAAGATTCACATCCATATCTACACCAACACCCCTACTTTTCACGATTAGTCCATAAAAAGTTGATTTAATTTAGATTATTTTATTCGATATTATTATTTACAAAAGAACAAATAGAATGTGATGTGATTTGCATCATTTTCTCGCTAAACATATGTTCCAACAGTTGGAAAAAATCGCATCTTTGATCTGTTCGTTAGTTGGTCATGTCCTCTACTTTCCTCTGTTGCATTGTTCAAAATAATTTTGATTGTTGAAATTTAAAATTTATATTTCAGACATTTTTAACGGTTGATATTTTTGGTTTCTATCGAAATATTCATCATTAATTCACGTTTCTGTCATGTCTCTTTCGTTTTTGAAGTAACTGTTGGGTAATATATGATTATTCCATTGTTAATATCGGAGTATATTATCGAATATATTGATTGCCACCTATGATATTATCCTTTTAATTTGCACTGATTCAAACAATATCATCAACGAGTAGTCTAATTAAAATGTTAATTCTTGTGTGTTTTATTCTCTATGAGAATCATTTTTGTTTGAAATTTTGTTTGAAAATTTTTCTGGAAAATCATTTTTAAGATCAAAGACTGTTGAAAAAAAAACATACGCATTAGAATTTTGTCTATTAAATATCGAATAATGGATATTTTTCAGAAACAAAAAAATAAAGAAACTCTCGTGATTCGTCTTATCTTTCAAAACATCTAATGAGTCATAGTACCAGAATAAATTCGGCACCACGAGAGTTTATTTAATCGTCATCTGCCAGCAGAAACTTCAATTTCAGTGGATAGCTTTGGAATGATTTGACTTTGAAGAGAAAGCTCTTTCGATATTTGTTGCAAACAGAGCGAAAATCGAAATTTCTAGATAAAAGCTTTGATTTGTCGTACATGATTTAGTAAACTTTACCGAAAGTGTGGATGTACGCATGAGTGTGAATGTCAGTATTATTTTTAGCCACAGCTTCATCTGCCCGTATCTAAAGTCACGGCTACACTCCCAAAGCCACCCACACCTCAGAATAACCCATAGCTTTTTGTCATTCAATTGCGATTTATTTGAGAGAAAGAGAACGAACAAACAAAAACTAATTACCTTTTGTAACGTTTGATAATGAATTGTTGCACTCGAGCATTATGCTGATCAACAACATAGAGATTGTCACATCGATCGCAGGACAAACCGCTGTGATAGTTAAATTGATTTGCTCCGTGTCCTCGACGATTTGCACCCACAATGATAGTGTCTTCTTTCTTTTCTTCTGTCTCTTCTTCTGTGTCTGCTTCAGGCAAACGCATCACTCAATAATCTAATCCCCCAGTCAGCTACATAGAGGGTACCCAATGTATCGACGAACAGTCCTTGAGGGTAGGACAATTGTTTCAGAGCATTGCCCCAACCTTGACCTCCAGCAGCGATAATTCCTTCTTTTGCATATTTCTCTTATTTCATCACACGGTGATTGTAGGTGTCTGACACGTAGACAGTCTGTTGTCCATCGACAAAGAGGAAGGTCGATCGATTGAGTTGATTGAAATCAGCACCTTTGTCATTGCCACCAGCAACGAGAGTTCCATTCTTTTCTCCTATTTGAAATCGTCTTACTTCATGTTTTTCAATGTCAGAGATGTAGAGATATCTCTGATCATCTCTAGTCAATCCATAACAATCGATTTTCTTGATGAGGTTTTCTCCTTGAAGTGTGCCACTACGACGAGACCATTGTAGGACTCGTCGATTTCTCCAATCACAGATAATGAGACTATCCGTCTCTTTGTTGATCAACACATCGGTTGGACCATTCAATTGATTTCCTCCTCCGAGAGTACCAGCTGCCACTTGAGAATTCGTATCACCCACTTTCCATTGAACGATCCGATCATTTCAATGGTCAGCGATGAACATCGTTCCATCATCTTCAACAAAGAGATCGAAAGAGCGATCGAGTTGATTGGTGGCATTGCCTGCTTCATGACCTTTAGCAACAGTCACTCCATTCTTTGCCCATCGAGTTTTGACTGGAATATTAGGAATCCCTACAATGAACAAGAAAAAGAAAAGGAATAGTCGTTATGTCAAAATAAAAGGACTTTTCTAAACTATAGAAACGAACCTAAAAGTCTCATTTCTTCGTTCTTGATGATTTTATCTCGTAAAAACTTGATTATTTGTTGATTCTTATCAAAGAAGATAAAGAAAGGATTAAGAGTTTTGCAAGAAATAATAGTATCGAATAAATGCTGATTGCATTTAAAATTCTTCATAGGAAAACTTCTGCAAATACTTTATGAGCGATTCCTACAACCTGTAGAAGACATTTATCTTCTACGTAATTAAGGATTACTGGATTTCCAAACAGATTTATCCATAGGGGAAAACCTTAATGGCCAAGAAGAGCTAATCCTTCAAGATACTAACCTAATAAGTCTGTAAACTCGTAATCAATCATTTACCAACTAGGTGAGTGATCAGCTGAAAGTAAACCATCGAAAACAATTAATCATAGCCCGTTCGACTTCCGAATTTTATACATATATTTCGTATCTAGAGATTCTTGGAAAGCATCTCAGTCAAGCATCGAATCTGACAAGCTGAAGTACAGAGGTTGACGAAAAATTTCGAAAAGCAAAATGTGGAAGTGGAGAGCGTCGAAAACTTTTAAGAATGATAGCATCAAAATACAGTTTCATATTTTAGTTTATGACCTTCGATTTCCCACTCGATTATCAAAAAAATCATTTGCTTATTTAGAGCTTCATACAATTAGTTCAGAGCGAAGATGTTCGTTTCGAACATATTTCAATTCAACTTGATATTGAGACATCTACACCGAAACAATAGAAAAAAAAAGCTTTTCAAATGAAATTAGACACTTTAAATATTCCGTGTGACCCCTTTCTTTTTTTAGAGAGTATGAGTTTCTCGGTGGATCTAAGGGGAATTATACGAGAATATACAAGGGAATATAAAAGAATCTCAAGTGAATTTTAAGAGAATTCTAGTAGAATGCGCAAGGCGAAGGAAGACAATCAAAACTGAGATGCTAAAAAGTCTAAACTGGAATGCTACGACAATCTGAATAAGAATCATAGGAAATGAATATTCAAAGACTAGATATAAAAAAAAGACTTATATTTAATTGAGTAATAATTATATAGAATGAGCAATAATTTATTTAACTTAAAGGTATATTCTATATAAGGTAGATTTTATATAAAAAGGGTGTTATAATGTGACTGGCTTATATATCTTTTTTTCTTTTCTTCTCTTCTATGATGTTGTACAGATAACAAGTACGACACATACATGTATATGTCGGAGTTGTCTTTAAAATATTTCAAAATCAACTAGTTGCCTTTTAAATTCAATTAGTTGAATTTAAAATTTATTTTGAACTCAACTAATTGGTTGTAAAATATTTTAAAGTCAACTAGTCGCCTTTGAAAGGGGACCGAATTTTAAAATCAATTCCGATATATACATATATCTCTTGTTTTCTTTCTCTCTTTTTTTCATTGCCTCACTTGAATATTTCTCTTCTCTTGATGTTGTTCAGGTATATTCCTTTCTTCGTCATGTTTTCTTTCTAGAGTGTTTGATTTTTTCCTAGCTCATTCATATATATATATGTATATATATAGTTACCATTTCTGAAATAAAGTAGTAGTTCAGTATTGATCTGTTAGATCAATTACATGTTAACAAAGGGCAATATGAATTCATTTATATATCGAAATACGTAGTTTTTCAATTTTACAAAATAAAATACAAAAAGAAAAAGAGGCAGACCATCTAAAGCAAAAAAAGCTCAATTCACACAATAATATACAGATTTTTCATTTTTTTTTTCAATTGTAAATAACTTTTTTATTTCTGTAATTCATATAAAATAATGTAGTTTTTCTTTGTTTTATTGCTAAAATATGATATTACTACTGCTACTTAATGAATTAATTATTGTACATTTAATAACAAAATTACTCAAATGAAGTTTTTTATTGCTCAAAAATTATTGCTACATCGTATCTTAATTATTGCTCATGCCAATATTTTTATTGCTCAAATAAATACTAGCCATTTTTTTCTATGTGATTCATGATCATTTGTTAGTCGATTGTTGATAATTCTTTTTAAAATGATTTTATTCTTCGATCACTTCTTCAAGATTATGATGAGTACGTTAAAACAATTTTAATTTTTAGCAATAGTTAGCTTCCATCAAGTTTGAATTTTTGTACGCGATTGTTTCCAAAATCACTCACGTAAAGATTACCCTCCTGATCAAATGACAATCCGATGGGAGCACTAAGTTGATTCAAGTCACTTCCTCCACCATTTTCGCCAACAATAATATTTCCCTGTGTAGCTGCTTGAGGCCAACGGACAATTCGATGGTTCTGATGATCAGCAATGTACACAGTACCTAATTGATCTACGATAACGCCACAAGGATTCGATAATTGATTAAGACGATTTCCTTGACCTCGACCACCAGCCACAACAATACCTTGTTTTGCACCTTCCATCCACTTCATCACACGATGGTTTCCATAGTCTGATACGTACACTGAATGATCGTAATCGACGAATACGTATCGCGGATTACTTAGCTGATTTAGATGATTCCCTTGTCCATTTCCACCTGCAACCACTGTTCCTTGACTTTCTCCCATTCGATATCGTCTCACTTCATGATTATCATAGTCGACAACATAAAGAAATCCATCATCGTCCATTGTCAAACCCCAGCATCCAACATTTGAGATAATCGTTTCTCCAGTTATGTCATTCTGTCGAGGCCATCGAACAACTCTCTGACTGTGGTAATCACAAATGATGAGGCTATCTCTTTCTTTATCAATGATCACATCTGCAGGGCCACTCAACTGATCAGGACGGTTCCCTTTTCCATTTCCACCAGCCACAACTCGACCAGTCGTTGCACCACATGTCCATTCCGCAATACGATGATTTGTACATTCGGCAATGTAAATAGTTTGGTCATTATCAACACACAAACCATTTGGACAGTAGAGCTGATTCATGTCACTACCGACTCCATTTCCTCCAGCCACAGTAACACCATTCCGTATCCATTTTGCATCGGCATTCAGAATTGCACTGCGTAATAATGATGCTGAAGCAAAATATAATTTTCATGCATACATATCAAGTCAACGAAAGAGGATGAAAACTGGCATTCGAAGTAAAGAACTGATCAAAAGAAAGAGAGAGAAAGAACAGTTTTACTCAATTTTCATGTTGAGCATTGTCTTAAGTCGTCCCGTTATTTTTATATGTTAAATGATGAAAAATATGTGCTTCTATTGAATGATAGTTAACATTTGAATATTCTCAGTAAAGGTCGAAATTTCTCTTTCTATCATCATCATTGAAAAACTTTTTCTTCTTTTGAACGAACTTCGCTAATAAAATGTCATTATTTGTCATCGCAATCAATGAAGAAAACTTCATAATATCCTGTTTTCGAATAGATAATGACTGAAAATAGTTTTAGACGATTGAAATGGCAATTGAATTTCCATAGAAATCGATCTCATAGTGTTCATAATTTTCAAATAAAATTCCGTTGAGAAGTATTGATATGATTTTAATGATGAAATAAGAATTTTCTTTGAAGAACAAACAATTAACACTTAAAGGAACAAGTTTCTAAAAATCCATTAGGTGAATATTTGAAATGCGATAAAACAACTGTGAAATATTTCATTTTTTCCTATTATTTGGAATATCTTATTTGTATTCAACTATTGAAAGTCTTGACTTATCAATGTTTAAGGAATTTCAGTCAATGCATCGTTTAAGATTGAAGCATCGTTTTCTTTTGATGAATATCAACTCTCGACATATATCATTGTGGAGTTTAAATTAAAAGAATTTGAAAACCTTATATGATCTTCTTGTTTTTCTTGGATCCCTCAGAGACGGTATTGTTATATTGAAGATGAAGAAGTCTTAAGTTCTCGGATCTGAAAGGAATCTTTTTTCTACCACTTCTACATACATATGTGAACAGTCATCATAATTTCAAAAATATTTCAATCGAAAATTGAGCAGAATCTACAATCTAAGTGCTTGAAAAATTCATTTGAATTATCTGAGAAAATGAAATGAAAAACTCTTTCGACTTCAATTACACTTTAAAATTTACTTTTCGTGACAAGATGAATTTTATTGATGAAGCATGTTGAATAGTGTTCAATTTTGAAATTTGATGGATTGTTGAAAGTGTCTTGTAATTTCTTGAGTTTTTCATTGAAGAAATCAATGCGTGTTTCAATAAAATCTTCCTCTTTGCGACATTGAATGAGACTTTTTGTTAATTCTTTGAATTCAAAATTGAGATCGGTGGCAAATTTGTTCACACGCAATGAGAGTTTATGACGAACTTCATTTGCCACTTGATGGATCTTTTCGATCGATTCGCGTTCCCATTCATCGATTTGTTTCATTAATTCCTGTTTTTGTAACTCGATTTTCGGTCCTTCCATTTCAATCTTGAACTCATTAAATTGATCTTCAGTTTTGCCTAATTGATCGCTCAATTCAGTATGATGTTCATTGATGTGAATGCGACAAAAATCTTTGGAACAACCTTTACATGTTGCAAAGCTCTTTGTTAACTCGCATTTGACGCAAACTGTTCCCTGTGTTGCTTTCGCCATGTGACAATGTGCTTTAGAAAAAAAAGAAACAATGAAAGAGGATTGATGAAATACGCTAGTAACACTACCTGAGTTTGTTCTTTGTTCTGTCAAAGAAGTAATCTTGCATCATCAAACTTTATCGTACACTATTATAGATGTCATCATAAGAAATTTATAGCCAATTGTAATCAGTTTCAAAACTGTGCCTCAAAAGAAGCGAACTAATTTTTTAATTTAATTTCAATTTAAAATTTAAAATCAAACAAAACTGATACTCTTTTTCTTGATTCGTTAGTGTCTTCTGTCTCTAGATGGCGAACCTATTAATTGGTTAATATTTCGAGATTCACTGATGTTCTAAAAAGAGTTCTGTCAACAAACCATGATTCACCAGAAAATTCGCTGAAGATTGATCGACTCAATTGAATCACTTGATGTCAATAAACATATATACGAAGTAAACTTACCGTTCGCATTCGTAGTTGCTTTCATTCAATTATTGATAGAATTGAGTAACTCATGAGTTTCATTATGTAAACAGATTTAAGGGTGGATATTGCTATTAGAGATTTGCACGGAGACAATGTCGAAGTCAGTTCAAAATTCACTGTTTTTTTATGCTGAAGATTTAGTTTTAACATAGGAAAATCTTTGAATAGCAGGTGTCATTTTCTGATATTTGCTATACGAATTGATGTTATATGGAGGTTCTAACGACTTCTGATCAAGGTCAGTGGAAATGAAACAAAGTTGGAGTCAAAAAAGTCAGCGTTAAATTATGTTCTAACTTTCGTTCGTATCCATAAATCATCACAAGACGTCGTTAGAACGTCCATTCTTCATCGACTTGTCTAATTAATATCAGAGAAGACACCAACTTTTCAAAAAAGTTCTTACATTAAAATTAGATGTTCGACAAAAACAAATTAAATGACTACATCTAGGTCTCTAATGGCTATCCTTTACGTACTTATATCGCCAATCAACTTGTTTTTCAGACTACAGAAGGAATGATACATGCACCCTAGCATATGACTTTCAAAAACCTTTCAAACCTCGATTATCAAAGAGCACAGTATTTTCACTCTAATCCATGATTATAAACCTTTTGGTGATGCTTTTGTTTGGACCAAGAACCAAGACACATTTTGTCTGAAAACTTTCAGTCCACCTGTTACTAATAAAAGTATTCGAAAAAAGTCGTAACAGCACAACATGACTCATTCTTTTTGTACTCAAGTTATTTCAAATATTGTTCGTGAGAATTTCATGAAAAGTTGAACCGTATTAAGAAATCATTTTTTCAATTGTCATATGCATTGAATAAAGTATAAATACGCTCTCATATCATCAAAATTGACTCAGCTATGATCATTAATCACGATTGATCAGCGCACTTCCGAATATTTCGATGATGGACGTGAATGTGGATGTACGTAGTACGGGTATGTATATGTATGTAGATTTGTGGTTGTTTATGTGTTCTTCACCGACACCCACACTCCATTTGAAATCAAACCTATCCCATCCGTACGCTCTGCTCAAAAGACATTTCGACACAGATCAGGTTCTAGCAAACCAACTGTTCTCAAGATCGCAACTGACATGGAACTGTCGTAGGTTTATTTTCTAGAAAACATAATTCTTCAAATTATAGATCGATCGATTGTTGAACAATTCTATTCTGACAAAGCGTTTCATCAATCATTTGGCTCTAGTTAATGAAACTGAATAGATTCGATTTGAGATTATTCAGACAAATTCTTCTCTTCGAGTTATTTTGCATTATTGTCAAAGGTCTCCTTTTGCACAACAGTTTTGTTACCGACTTTGCTATAAGAGTAATCACTTTATTAGAGCGATTCATCTCTCCTGTATCTTGGATGATTTGAGACACTATTTCAGTTTGACTTACGTTAGAGAAAAGCAAGAAAACGTTAAATGAGACTTAAGGGTGTGAATGGATACATTAATGTGTCTTGCTTTTTGTCAATATCAATAAATTGTTTCAAAATCAGTTTTACTCCCAAGATAACAGACTAATAAATACAACCTGTCAAAAAATTATTAATACGGATGTGCATGATGACATAACATTGCTCACAGCTTGGCAGCACACACTTGGTAAAAGTTGTGATTGTCACCATGTGAGAATCACGCAATGGTTGACCGAAACTTCACAAAATATTTTGATTAGTTTGTATGTATATAAACATTCATCTTCATTGAAATACATCAGACTGTCATCGCACAATAAAGAAGAACCACCAATATGTGAGCGGTGCATCATTAATACGCGTTCAGTTTTCACTTCTATGAAAAAAGTTTTAATAACAGATCAAGAGAAATAGATAATTGCCATTGACGTTTGCACGAGCAAGATATCCAGAGGTGCAGAATCTTCCTCATGCGCCCCCGCGCGGGGGGGGGGGGGGGGAATTTTTTGAAAAACTCAAACAATAGGGAGATTTTGGAAAAACCCGCTGGCCAAAAAAAAATACAGTGGGGAAATTTTCCAAAAACTTTTTTTGCGTGAGGGGAAATTTTCGGATTTTTGGAAGATTCTGCACCTCTGAAGATATCCTTGTGCTGTTCTATCATCTCTTGCAGGTATACTTGCTACTCATATAAGGAAATAAATATGCCCTTCATATCCTTAGTTTTGCATGTCTTTGGTGAGTTGATTATTATACTCATGCAAAGATTTTTTCGAATATCCAAATAGGATCAATCAGTTTATGAAGTACATACCAATGATATTTCAGAAATACTCATCATGAAATAGAAAGTGGTGATCCGTTCGATACAAATACTGCAATCAATCTAACAAAAGTCAAGGAAGGATGTGGTTGTCAAAGTAGAGAAGACTCACACCTACATTCAGCTGATATTATTTTTATTGTTAGAATGAAGATACGAATGAGTCCTTCAAGATGAATATTAAAGTCTAGATTATAAAACATTTTGTTGTACCTCATCATATAACGATGAGAAAGAATTTTCAAAATATAAAATAATTCAATTCAAGTTTATCCACAGAATTTTGTGCTATAATAAAAACTTTTTTCAATATGAAAGTTTTGAAAAATTCTGAATTAAGTTCTATTAAGTATTATCTTCGAATCTTTAGTGAGGCATAGAAGTTAATTTCTCGATCATACTGTTCATTTGTCCAAACAACGGGTACATCACTTGATATATAATCGATCCTGGAATAGACCTCGATAGGTCTTTCTCTAGAAAAAGACTAGACTATATATAAATAACACGATGCCGATCAATAAAAGAAGAAATCAATTACAAGAATTCATACACTGTTGTTCGATGCAGCTGTTTTCCATCTTTGTCATAAACGACTGGTTCTCTGCTGGTTCATCATTTTGAACAGAAGCAAATCATTAATTACCAATATTAGACAGATAATTGTTTGAAAACATTTATCGGTAAAATCCGGCAGAAGAGACTAGCATCTATCATGTATGTCATAAAACTTCATCACAACAATATCAAGTAAATGTTCATTCAGATTCTCCTAACAATTTCGAATAGAAAGGTATCGGAATTATTCGACAACTACCGAATTCATCAGATCTTGCTGCATGTAATTGGTGATCATTTAATCTGATCAAACAGAATCTAATCGATGACAACGACTCACAAGCATTGCATCGCATTGACATAAAGAAGATCATTAAAAAAATACTTTCAATAAACGTCTTTAATAAATGTCACTTTGTATAAATAGTCAGAGCACTGTCGAAAAAATTGTTTCTACATTGTGTTTTTCTTCCACCATCTCTCATTCGAGAATCGTGAAGAAATTTTGGAAAGATCTAAACTGATCAAGTTATAACTTTTAAGAAATAATTAATATCAGTATTTCAGAGCTTATCAAGATATCTAATAGTGTATTGAGACCTATTCTAGGTAGAATGTATATATATATATAACAGATTTGTTTGTTAGTTCAATCAATGGTAAAAAATAGAGAGTCATTCAAAGAAAACAAGTTGTTTCTGTGATGATCGGTTATTCATTGGGAGAAAATCGTAGTCTATGAAAGAGTTTTTAATGAACTAAAGAATACATGTGAGTTGCTCTTGAGAAGTTACTTCACGTTCACTAACATTTATTGAATAAAGAAAAAAACATATATTTCTTTGAAATAGGATCGCAATTCTATAAAATTCTTTCTAATAAACAAACATTGTGTCGATGTCGCTAATTGTCGATCTAATTTGTCATTTTTTTTCTTTCTATCCAACCACATAGTTGATGATTTCATCAGCTGATTCATTGACAATAATAATCAGATGTTTTTCTTTGAGTATTCTAGACTACCCACGAGAATATGATACGTATAAAACCGCAGTTTTAGTATATTGTAGAAGTCATATTGTTGATTCAGTTTTTATACATTGTTCGAAATTTTAATTTGACCTAAATTTTTCTGACAATTCATATCACAATTTTAATGCGAAAAAATTTTTCCGTAGATATCAATAAACATTTTGCTTTTATTAATCTCTTCAGTCATATAAATAAAACTTTTATTCTTTTTTAAAATAAAAAGAAGAAAATAAAACAACCACGTTAGAGAATTCTGTCTTAGTTTTTATAGCCCGAATATTGTCTTTCTCATAGCAAGACAACACATCTAATGTAAATGAAGAATACGAACTAAAATATTAATTTAATAAAGAATATTTTTTGAAAATTTCATTCTTTTTTTTTTTTTACAAGTTTTATACAAATTTGAATAATAAATAAAACTCTTCAAAAATTTTTCTTTATGTCGTTCATTAAGTGATCGATCATCGTATGATAAATACTATATATCCTTGTAGTTTGAACTTGATGCCATCATCTTCAACATGACATCATCATCTATCGAATGTACGTGATTGTCTTCTTTACTCTTTCTCTCTACATCTGATTCGATAACTACGAAGAAATCATCATATGATGATATCTCTTGACACATGTTAGTTACATCATTGACAGTTGACTATTGTATTTCTATTATTAACTCATAAAAAACAACTGAATTTAAGATTTCTCTTATTTCCTTATTAATTTCATTCTTCTGAAAAAAACGACTCTCGATCATCATCTCTATTGATTATTGAATAAACTCTATTATACATAGATACAATCAAGTACACAAGTATGTATTTACACGTTCTTTTTTTTTTTTAATAATTTATATTTTTTAAAAGTACATTTGTGAACAAAAAAAAAATCTTTTTTTTTTTTTCATCAAATTCAAACTTGTTGATCTTTATTCGAATGACATTTTTATTCTTCAAAATAACACAAAAAAAAGGCACGTTTATCTTCATAGTTAGTCTAAAAAAAGAGAACGATAAAATGTTATATGAGACAAACTATTATCATCAAAACAGCAAGTTTCTTTTGAGTACATAAACATTGATTTATTTTAACGGTGTTTAAAAAAAAGAACCCTAAATAACATTTAAAAAAGAATAACGTAGTTCGTTTTCTGTTATTCATATGAGACGTAAGGCTTCTTATTCTATTACTTATGGAAATTTTTCTTTATTTTGATTTATATTATACATAATTAAGTTAAAAAAAAAAGATGAAAAGTTGTTTTTTTTTTCTTCTATGGTTCGAGAAGCATTATCTCGTGAGATTTACGCTTTTTTCTTTCTCCCTCTCTCTCTTTCACTCAAAACACATTGTGTAAAGCATAAAAATCATATATTCATTTTGTTGTTTCTAATGACATATAATCTTCTTTTTCTCTTTTTTTTTTTATGTTTATAAATATTAACTTTACAAAGATGATCATCATATCATTTAAGAACTTAAGTACTTCTATACTTAAAGTTTTCATTACTATCATATTCTTCTCGAATTTTATGAATAAAACAAATCTATTCTTGAAATATATTTCTTTCTTTTGTACTTTTGTTGCATATATTTTCAACTTTAAGTCCGTATCGAGAACGCATGCTCTCTTATATGTAGTCAAATAAAAAAAAATAAACAGAAAAATAAAAGTATTTTAATTGTATATTTTACTTAGAATAAAATAAAACAAACAAAAAAGTCAATAGTTAAACAATATAGACTAGAACATTCACGTAAGATATTTCTATCATTTAGTTTTGTAGGATCCATTGTACAAGAATAGCAAGATTATTACCATTTTTCAATCATTCTATCGATCATCTGGGAGAAAAAGAAAGAGAATGAAAAAAAGAAAAACTATATGATTTCTCATATGGTAATTATCTATAGAATGTGTAGAGTGCGGGTAGTTCATACAGGAAAAACAATAGAAAGAAAAGAAATGCATAAACTACAAATAGTCAGTGTTGCTTGATTTACATATAAATTTGTCAATAAAGATTTTTATTTTACATAAGTTAACATCTATATATATATATATGTATATATTTCAGACACGATCAATTATATAGTTAAAAAACAAGTTTAAATAATTATTTTTCAATATTCATCATTTAATAGAATTCATTGATTCAATATTCAACGGTAAACATTTTATATTAAACGTAAAAAAAGTTAGTCACATTGCTTAAATAATCATGTTGAACATTTATAAACTGAAAACAGCATAGAATTTGCCAATATGTTTAATAAAAAATAAATTATGCTTCTTTTTTTCAAAGTCACATGCACACACATATTAGCAGGTACCTTTTCATTCTTTACTTTCTTCGTTTTTTTTAAATATAAGTAAATGCGTACATATGTCGCCTACCTCTTGTAACTACGGTTGGTGATTGACAGTTTGAGTGCAACTTTTAAGCTTAAATGATTCCTCTCACTTTTCTCTTGTCAATTTTTTTTCGCTTTTTTTTTCTAATTTCACATGTCTCGAATTATTATTGACATCGAAGAAAGTAAAAAACCTTGAGATGATTGTAAATCAATGCGCAATTAAATTTACATCAAAAAATTGTTTCTACTGATGTTTTTTTCTCTTGACTTTTTCATTGGCCTTGAATATATATATATATATCCAGGCAGTACTCATCTGTATATCTCATATTGCCATTATCAGCATGAGTAACCACAAAAATAAACGTCATAATCATCGCCTCTCAAGGCCAATCTGTAGCCATGTGAGCAAACGAAAATAAATAAAGAAAGAAAAGAATATGATAAATTTGTTGTCATTCTATCTGAACGATGTGAATGTAGAAGTTATAGATAGATAATATCTTACTAATTGATACACATGTGCAGGTACAGAAAAGAAAAAGAATCATTCGATCAATCGACGACAGTACAGCTTCGTTGTCATCGTCGTCATGTTTACATGTACAAAAGAGAGAAATCTTATGATGTTATTAGCGAGGCGTCAAGTGAAGAGTAATATGCTTGTTACAACAACCGCATGGAACATAGGCGCGAGTCTCTATTGTATTTTTTTTCTCTTTCTCTCTCTCTGTCTTTCAGTTTATCACCTAATAGTAGTTGTAAGATGGCGTCTCACATTTATTCATACACTTGCGCCACTTTTCTTTTTTTCTTTTCTTTTTTTTTTATTGTTCATGATAATATGTTTTGTTTTTTTCTAGCATTAATCTTGTCGACAATAGACAATTATAGGTCATTGAATGCCCTTAATTGATAAAACGAACTTTTAACAGGTAAAAAAGAATGACAAGAATCAATGGATGTCAGTTGTTGTTGTTGTTGTTATGATTATTATTGCTATTTCTATAACATATTGTAGTAACGACACCGATGTCGTAGCGAGTTGAAGACAGGAAAGAAGCAACAGAAAAAAGAAAAATGGTCTATTTAAACTCTATATAGAAATGACATATGACTATAAAAGAACAAAAAAAAAGAGAACATTGAGTCATTTTTTATTGCAATGGTCCATAGTTCAATTGTAATCGTGAGGTCTTTTGATGCCTTTTTTTTTCTTCATAGGATTTGAGTTTAACTTGCTTCAGATAGGAAGCGATAGAGCTACAGTTCGAACATGAAAATGATTAACTCGAGTCATGTTACACTTAACAGCTAATGCTCGTATGATTTTGATCAGTAACATCTGATAATTATTAATGCTAATTGTGTTGAACTCGAGTAGTTCTTGAAAATCTGAGAAAAAGGAATCCATTCGTAATTATATTAATGACAGACGAATAATACATTGTTTTTGGTCTGTATAACACATATAAGATCTTTGATAATGAAAAATTTATGATTACTATCATATTTTTGTCTTAATTAAACATTTTTGCTATTTTTTTTTCTTAAAACTAATTAATCGTGTTTGAATCGACATTATGTCCATCGTGTAGATCTAAATGCACTTTAGTTTCATGTCGAAATTCGAAAAATTATTTTTTTTTAATGTTGTCGATGTTTGACCATGGCATTGACTTAAATAATACCGTATAGTTGCAATATCTCCGCAGCAATAAGCTAAGAGCTTAAAATCTTTTCATAGTATTCATAGCTCATTAGTATCCAAACGAAGGACATAGTCCGGCTCAAACGTGATTAACCACTTGATGGATTCCTCTTGTTAATAGTTCAAAAAAGATACTAATATTTGTTTGAATGTTATTCTAAACTTCACATAAAAAAAAAATTTTTTTTCCGCATATTTAGATTACTCATTGGCATGAAAGAATGTTCTCTATGATAAAACAAGTATTTATTATTAGTATCAATGATTTTTGATACATTGTCACCCACTGATCATATGTTTGAATCTTTACCATCATCATTTATCGAACATCCATTAACAGACGAATGTAATTTTTCACAAATTGAATCAATAAAACAAAAAATGGTTTCAAACAGACAAGACAACTCTACAAGTGATATGCATGCAATAACTAATCGATATCATCAATTGAAATCATCACCGATGAATCAATCATTAGAACAAATTGAAAAAACAACAGTGGCGAATATTGATGAAGAATCAACAAATTCTCTTTGGCAATCTTCAGGTAGATTCCATCAGTTCAAAATAATTAACTCATTCAAATATCCTCAAAATAGGCTAATTCAGAGTATATAGTCTCATATCTGATAGATAGTGATATGTTTTTTTAAAAAATTATTTGACTCATTATTGCGTCAAACCTGAGAGTCGCCCAATAAGATTGAAATGAGTATAATTTTAGATGAAAGAAGATAACAGTTGAATTCATGATTGTAAAATATTAATTTAATGTCATGTAATATATCTATTTCTTTTTTCAGATGAACATCATCTATCAATATCTCCTACAAAATCATTAGCTATGACTGAATTCTATCCTAATTCATCATCATCATCTTCTGATCTAAGTTTGATTAATAGTGATTCTCATCATGATGATAAACCTGAAATGAAAACTCTTTCATCATCGTCATCATCATCTGGTTATGAATCATCATTAAATTCTATTTCTGATCATTTTTTTCCTTCATCTCCAGATTCAATTATAATATCGAATTGTAATCTCGTTGAACAATTTATTAATTTACATCTACCAAAACAATCATCATATGATCATGATATACCATTTTCATCAGCTTCGTCATTGAGTTCTTTATCAAGTTCATTTTTTTCTCAGGATTTAATTTCAACTAGTGATTCACCATCATCTTGTCGAAAATTTCCTATTCATAATCAATTATCTAGTGATACTGATGATGATTCACAAGCAACAACAATATCAACTGATGTATTATTTTTACAACGACAAAAGGACCGACCAAGAAGTTTACCAATAGCTATTCAACAATCGAAAGTGGTATTAAACGATGATGATACAGATAATAGTTCTCAAAATAATTCTCTTTGCTATTTTTCATTAACTGTATCAGAAAAAATTTGTTTTCAAAAATGTGAATCAAGTTCTGTGACAGCTACGAATGGAATATTTTCGACAAATCATTTAATTACAACATCCATTGATAAGTTAGATATTAATGAACAACTAATAATCAATTCAAAAAATTCATTAGAACATTTTATTATGAGTCCAACTGATAAAGTTAAAATACAAATGAAATATCATGAAAATGATATAAAAAATGTACATATTAGAAAAATCAATCGAAAAAATAAAATGAAATTTTGTTTTTTGTGAGTTTTAGAATGAATTAAAAATTTCTCAACCTGAAGATATTGATTTTAAACGATCGAAACTAAAAGCTATTCGTGTACTTTATCAAAATAGAGTCAATTTCAATAAAGTTCAATCTCCGGTGACACATCAAGTATACAAATCAATGAATTAATATTTATATTTTAATGTATGTATTTTTATCATAGAATTCAACTATACTTTCATCAAGAACAGCAAGCTATTGTCATTCTCCATTAGCTAAACGAACTGTTAGTCCACGTTTCTTGAGAAGGTAGAAGACGATCTCTTTTTAGTCTTAGTAAATATATATGTTTATTTTGTCTTTTTAGTGTTCTATCATGTAGTGTATTCGAAGTTGATGATGAACACGAAGTTGTTTCATCAACAACTCAAAATAATGTTAATGGAACACGTGAAAAGTCTCATATTGAAACGTTCAATTTTTTACGTGGCAATTTCACAGTAGGACAATTTTGTTATAAATTATTTTCATAAACTTAATTTTTCTATTTAAAGGAATCATTATTACATGGAAAAATTCTTCCTTCTGGTATACTCGATGGTTTTACAGTTAAATTAGGTGCAAGTGGACTTTTTATACCTAAACAAGTTATTTTACCTGTGACAACATTTTGGTTTAATGTATCTGAACATCAAGCAGCATCACCTTATCTCGTATGTAAATAAGAATCAGACTCATCATAAACACGATATCTTTTAATCGAGATACATTGATCTTATGAAAGACAGAAAAATGGTGTTTCCATTCGAAATAATCAACTTTTATGTTCTCCATAAAGTTGATGTATCTCGATCAAAAAAAAAAATCTCGTGTAGAGAACATTCTGATCTTCAAAAATCCTTATTTAATGCATTGCTATATTATATTTTCAAAGGGTTATATTAATTTGCAATGTTTACCAAAACGTGGTTATCATACACCAACAAAAGGAACAATAACATTAGCTTTATTAAATCCAAATGGTACAGCAGTTCATTTATTTTTAATATTATATGATTTAAGTGATATGCCACCTGATCATCGAACATTTATTCGTCAACGTGTTGTTCATATGCCTGAAGATATCAATGATGACAAAACATATAAAAAATCAACTATGATGCCATCTAAAGAAAATCTCAGATATTTAGCTCATATTTGGTATGAATTTTTTATTAAAAGTGACAATTATGTTGTTTTTGTTTTATAATAGTTTTGTAACATCACAAACTGGCAAACTCTATATGCATTCCGATATACGATTAATATTTGCACGTAATAAACTTGATTATGATGAACGAACAGGAAATGGAAAACCACAATTAGTGACAACAACAGATATGCCAACACCAAAATATTGGTCACGTAAATAGAGCAAAAGACAGTTTTGACTGTGTTTATATTTTGAGTTATTTTTATTTTCCTTGTCTTCGGTATCTATGTTTAATTATTATTATTTTTTTTTGGATTTTTTTTTTATATAGAAATATAGTAGAAAACTAATGAAAAGTTTTCTATTTGCATATACTTCTCTATTTATTAACTATAAAAATATTCAAATATTTTTTCTACTCAACTCTTCAAGTGATTTTCATCAAATCTTGAAGTATCTGTCAACCCTTATATCCTACTATTCTTTATAATTTTAAAGCTAAATTCAATGGTATATTTGATGTATGAAAATCCAAATTTTTTTTGATATTTATTCATCTTGATTTTTAGCAAAAAAAAAATAATCTACAATTCAAAAGTATTGATATCAAACAGTGAAACATATAGAAATGAACCTTGGATGAATTTTGTTTCTTTTTTTATAAGAGAAAAATAAATCATCAACAACAAGAAAAGGAATATAAAAGCAACAAAGAAATCTGATACAATATTTTGAATAAAGAAATGAAAGAAAATATAGTTGCCAATTGAATACTATTGCCAATGTGTTCTTTCCGGATGTTGATCATTAGTTGAAATCCAATTATTTTGTTGATTTGAAGAAGTTGATTTTATTGATTGTATAGGATAATTTCCTGTTAATGGACGAACAAATGTAGATGTTGGTTGATGTGATGTTTTTAATTTTTGTTTTATTTGTTTATTTTCAGATGATTCTGGATTTTTTCGTTTCTTCAGTGATAAATTATTTATTAAAATTAATTTTTGTTCAAATTTTGTTTTTTCTTTTGCATGATATTCAATTAATGTCATTGTATTTGATAGAACTATATCAGTTTGATATAAATCTTTCATATCAATAAGTAATGTATCTAATGATAATAAATTTTCTTCATTATAATACATTTGTACAAGTTGTAAATAATCTAATTCATATGTATGTGGTACACGTGCAAAATTTTTTAATTTTATTTGTAAATTTGGATAAATATTTAATATAGTATTTAATGGTATATATGAATGATGACTTGAACAAACAAATGGTATTAAATAATTTTTTATATATAATGAACCACCATGTAATGATAAAACATTTTTATATTGTCGATTTATTTTTAATGTTGGATTATCTTTTGGTAAAATTTTAATATAAATTAAATTTTTTGTACCAATAAGAACATGATAAACATTAATTAATAGAGCATTTTCAGGTATTTGTTCATTATTTATTTTACATTCACGTATCATTGTATTAATTAATGTTATATCTGTTGTCGTAGCATGTATTAATGTTGTTCGTAATTCATCAACTTCAAGAATTTTACATGATACAAGTACTTGATATGGTACATAACGTTGATGATTTTTTACTATAAATGGTAAATAAACATTATTTATTTGTATCCAACCATTACTATCGATTTTAGCATAATTATTATTTGTTATTGTTGTTGTTGTTGTTATAGATTCTTGAATTTTATTCGATTGTGTTTTTGATTGTACTACAACAGGAGTTATCATTGATTTAGTTGTTAATGATGGTAAAATATATAATGAATGAATTATTGGTATCGATGGTATTTTTCCATTGATTGAATGACTATGATGATAAGAATTTGAATTTTTATTATATAACTCTTGAACACGCGATATAAAATCAAGTAGATCTTCATATTCAATTAATTGATCATTTGCTTGTGTAATACGTAAACGAAATTGATCATTAAGATGATAATCAAGAATACGTCGCATGAGTTCAATTTCATTTGATGTTAATGAATATGCACGAACGACTGGTGAAATACTTGAAAAATACGATGATAAATGTTTCCATCGTTCGGATTGAAATAATACTTGTTCAACATAACGTTTAAGTACATAACGATCAAGACCATTACAACCAGGTCTACAAACAAAATACGTCTCTCAAATATATATTTTTATTCAGAGTGTTTTCTTTTTATTTTAATTTGCTAATAATTTACATACCGAAAAATAACAGCAATCACTTGATTGTCCCATTGTTCCCATGCAAATTGTTTTAGACGACTTGATGCATCAATTGAATCACTTGATTGATGCATTCGCCTAATTATAGTTGTTATCAAATATGAATAAATATACGTCAATAACTTACTATTTTCTTATGAGTTTGTCGGAATGATTATAATAGATATTGAAGATTCATTTTATCAGTTGATATAATCGAAGAAAAAAAAATATTTGACACAAATCTTGAACAAGAAAAAAAATGAAAGGAATGTCTATTGTATGTTTCTATTCATTTCTTCTCTCTTCATTTTCTATGATTAGAAATAATCTGTAAAACGATTCGAAACAGAAACCAAGCGAACAATTATTATTTTTACCCATTTTTTATGTTATTGGTTTGAAATAAGACTCCGAAATTTATTCTTTTACACAACCGAAAGATGTCACTCAAAATCGTCTATCGAGTTTGTCAACTAAAAAAATTTTATCTCAATCATTTTCAGATATTTGTATTCTATGGTGGGTGTGAATCAGGGTTGCCAGATGAAAATTTTAAAAATCAGAATTTTTGTTTTCAAATTCAGAAAATGATCAGAAAATGTTTCTGGAAAATCAGAAATTAATCAGAAAGATAGCTTTTGCAAAGCAATTGGTATTATGTTAAGATACTAGCTTAAAATATTCTCATGGGTTTCTGTTTATTGACTTATAGTTTATTTTTCAAAAATGTTCCACTACAAAGAAAGACAATACAATGAATATATCGTTTAATTAATACAAAAAATATAATAAAAGATATTTAGTGTGTGACAGAAAGTTTATTGTTTAGTCGTGTAATCTACAATAAACCTGTAAGGAAAAGCGAAAATAAAAATTTATTATGAGCTTCAGTTCACATTCAGCAGATGACTGTATAACTTCGACACTACCAATCATCAGCAGAAAAAGATAGTACAATATTAATCTATTATAGTAATGGGTGATGATAAGATTTAATTTCGCTAAAAAAAGCTGTGATATGATTTAGAAAAGTTCAGAATTCAGGAGAAAAGTAGGGAAATTTATCGAAAACAGGAAAAATCAGACTGTCAGAAGGAAATCAGAAAGGCGTCCAAATTTCAGACAATCTGGCAAGCCTGGTGTGAATGCTAGTCAAGAGAGAAAAATCTAGATTTTAATGCTGTGAAGTACAAGTGAAGTTCCGTTTTGTGTCTGCGAGTATGGACATTTCTACTCTTAACTGTCATCAATGGCGTAGCCAGGGGAGTGGCCATTGGGCAATTGCCCAATAATTGAAACTTATTGCCCAATAGTTTTCTGAGAAGATAGTTATTGCCCAATACCAAAACATCTGGTATAGGTATACATGCATGTTCACAATCGAAATAACTTTATTTTATCAAATTGTCTCCTATAATAATCTAATCTAAGTAGTTATTTAGAGCGATCATTTGACGATCTTTTTTGATTAAACAAAAAATTACAGTGATTACAATTCAGCGGTATTTTTTCGTCGAAAACTCTGGTCATTCTTTTTCAATTCGTTCATTTAAAATGTGAGTGAATAATGAACGATTTTTCTGAATTTATGAAACTATATTGAATGTATATGATAGCAATGCAATAGTTCAACTAAAATACTTTGATACGGTAACTGGTGACATAACTCCTGTAACTTAAAAATTAAACTGTCATGAACTCAACAGATTTTGTTATTAAAAAGAAACTGATTCAGTGTGGGAACAAATGCAGAATTTTACTCGTAGTGTTTTTTTCTTTATGGATAACGCCGAGAAAATTCAAGTGAATTGGACCGCAATGGGCACTAACATGCATCATTTTTCATATCTTTGACAATATAACAGAGATGTCTACTTCTCTACCAGCCATATTCGTGTTCCAATCGATACAATGATAGGGTTACAGTTATCTTATAGTAGTTTTTACTATGCGTTTCCATCATTTTCGTTTTAATCAACGTCTATACGTGAACTTAAAAATCCATAACACTAGAAATTCTATTGACTATCCATATTCGTTAGCTACTAGTCAGACACGAATATCAGTCATTAGCAGGATCTGCAATCTACTTTCGCATCGCATTTCTTTTATTGTATTTGAAGTTTATAGGAGATACGTTCTAAAAATAACAAGAGAAGTACAAATAAATCTGTAATAAACTACAACTTCCAACAATTACACAGGTTTTTTTATAATAGTATCGGCTCATGTAAAAAAGGTTACAAAAATATACCAAGAATCTCGTGATGAGTTCTGACTGATTTAAGCGGCCTGTTCCTTTCTCTTTTACATAAACAGCCTTTACATCAACAAAAAGTACTCAAAATATGAAAAAATATATTTATGTCCATTTTGTGAAAAAAATATACAAATCCGAAAAACTCTATACCGCTTGATAAAAGATTCCTAGCGGAACGGAATTACTATACTTACTGTCATTAGTTACAATTCTATCTTTTTAGACTTTTTTGAAGTTAAATATCCGATTATGCGAAAATCGCAAGCTCCATTTACAGATAAGAACAGCAAAAGTGATGGTGTTTCTCTTAGTTGAGAGTAATAAAATCTCTTTTCGTCAAACATCAACTATTCTAGGACAAGAAAGCTTTTGAAAAAAGTAGTAGCCCAATTGATTTTGAATTGCCCATTATTGCCCAATGCTCAAAATAATTTAGCTGGTAAACGGGCCATAGTTCAAAAGTTCCTAGCTACGCCACTGACTGTCATTCACACTTTTGATCTGTACTCAGATCAAGACTGAAACATACACTGACATCAATTGCTACAGAAGCACCCAAAGGTAGACCCACCACCTTACGCACACTTGCAGCCATTCACACTCATGTCGCACAATTTGTTTGTCATGGTACCGTTCCCGTTGTTTCAGAGATTTAAAAGTATATTGATGTTTAGCAAGAAAATTAAAATATAATCATCAAATTATGAACATGGCCCGCATCTAATGGAAGTTTACTTATAGTTAGGATTGAATCAAATGTCCGAGGAGTGTTTCATTTTGTTCTTATCGATCCAAAGATAATGCATGGCTCAGTAAAGCCCGCTAATAGTTAAAGAAGTCAATATCATTGTAGAGTTATCGAAACTGGCACCAGGATGCTGAGTTCCACCGGACGTTTGAAACTCTAGTTTGTCTATGCCAGTCCACTGCAGATTAATATGCTGTTGTTCACCATAAGGAATCGTTGTTGTGTGTGTATGAATCTGCTCGGAGTTCTTATGTCCTGTGACGATTAGTTTCAGGTTGTCGTTCCAAGCGGCACATGCTTTGAATGAAATGATATCGAATGTTTTGTATGGAATCTCAACAGTTATTGATGCAGAAATACAGTAAGCAACGTATGAGCTACCAATTTGTGTGAAGACCATCGCGTAGCCGCTTTTCGGATAATCTTTCTTCGCAAGCTGCTCGTGGAGGCAATAAAATCCATTCCATTTTAAATTTTTGTAAGTCGTGGGAAAACAAGTGCTTTCCACAGAGGCATTAGGAATATCAGCAAATGTGATATCCATTGTCACTAAAACGATATTTATCTCTTACTAATTTTGTTCAATGAAGTCAAGCATCTCATAGTGTAGATGTGCATGTAGGACAGGTAACTGTGCAGTCATCGATGACTCATCAACACGTAATTATCATCAACTTATTAATTGGTGAGAAGAATTCCGAATCAGAACTAATTCAGAACTGTAGGAGTCCAAATTTCTATTTTTCTGTATTTTTGAGTCATGATAATAATTATAAACTTACTCATGCGACAAGGAGTTTGTCTATCGTCACTCATTTAACTGCTTACGAATTGAAGTTCTTTGATAGTAGTATGTGTTCGAAGAGAACTATATCATTTCGCCACTCGAATATAATAAGCTGTTTATTGATTTTGTTCTCCATGCATTTGATGAGGTGTGAATATGGACCTTCTCTTTACCCATGCACCATTTCACACCTACACACTAATTTGTGTATAGTAACTTATAAAAACTTAGTAGGTTTCCACACTCAGCTTTAGTCAAAAATTTTGAAAAATCTCATTTCCTTCTACAAATATATTTTTCATCAATCGGGTATTTTTTTTCACACTTACCAGATGATACAACAATTGAAAGTTTATTTATAAAGGATGTAGAATCTTGTTGAATCATACTATTTGGTGGTTGATTAAGTTCTTTCGCTAGCTTTGCTAATTTTGTTTTGAATCTGTCTAAATCAATTTCATTAAAGTCATTTTCTTGATGACTTTGCTTTAATTGTTCGGTTAATTGAGATAGCTTATTTTCTATTTCAAACAAATGTTTGTTTTTATATTCAATCAATTTTTGTCTACATTCTTCTGCTGTTTGTTTAATTTTCTTAATTGAAATTTCTTCCCATTTATCAATTTGTTCCATCAATGGAAATCTCTTGGGAGTTTCTTTTTGCTGAACAAGTGCTTGATGAAACTGATCACGATCAGTTTCAATTTCATCGAACTGTTGACTTAGTGTTTGCCGATGTTCTCCTAAATGGCTGAAACAAAAATCTTGTGAACATCCTCCACATTTATATGCGATCCTTTCCTTGCCACATATAGAGCATGTTGCTCGTCCATTCGTCATTGCTTGTGCCATGTATTGAATATGTTGACAACAAGAAACATATTATTTATTTTTTTTAGAATATGAAGAAAGAATAGAGAAAGTGAATAAATGATGTGTAAATACGTGACCACATGTAATAACAAAATGAGTCAATGTCAATAAACATCAGTAGGAGATATAAGAACTTTTAAAAAGTTTGGTTGTTCGAAGCATATTCGTAGATGGAAAATATGCTACTGTTTTTTCCTAGTATGAATCTTCTAGCTTTTATACAATGGCAAAATGCTGTAGAAAAATTATGTATAGATGTCAGTGATTGTTAGCAACAAAACGAATAAGAATGAACAGCACAGATCTGCAATAACATGTTGTTTTTTTGCTCTTCTCTTATTTATATTGGTTTCCATTGGATCCATCCAGTCAAGAATCCAACTTGGTACCTAATGTGGTTGATCTTTATCAACTGATATACAAGACAAACGGTTGCGCAATATGACACTATTTTCGACAAGCACATAATATTCTAAAAAAAACATATTCGGTCATGAGTTCTATGCTCAATAAAGAATGATTCAAATTCAAGTTATAATAAAGTACAAAGCAAAGACTTTTTAAATCAGAGGATGTGGGTGATCTTTTGCCTTTATCGACATCCATACCCCACCCACCCTCACACCCTCAAAGAGACTTGTAAGGCAAAAGAAAAGTGATTGGAAAATAAGAAGGATTAATCACTGATTCTATTCAATGGTTTTTCCAAAAATACAGCACGTATTGACAGTTCCAGCTTTTTTATCGGCATTCAGCCAAATATTGGGCTTTGAGCAGTGAGGACAATCAATATATTGAAACTTGTTCTTGCACTCGCCACAAGATTCAACTAGGTCCGGTGTTCGATTGGCGTTTTCCCAGAAGTTAGCTTTGCTACAGTGTAAACAGTTTATGTGTTGAAATGTTTTCTTGCATGAGCAGCAAATCTCGGTCGCTCCTGGTGTCCGATCAGCATTCTGCCAAATGTTAGGTTTGAAACAATGCGGACAGTTGATGTACTGAAACGTTTTATGACAGACGCAACAAGTTTCGGTCGCGTCGGAATTTCGATCGGCGTTTTCCCATAAATTCGGCTGTAAACAATGTGGGCAATTGAGGTATTGAAATCTTTGTTCACAAACACAGCATCTTTTTACTGTGCCCGGATATCGATCAGCATTTAACCAAATATTCTTTTGTACGCAATGAGGATAATATAGGCTCTGAAAGTCTTTTTTACATGACCAACATGTGCAACGCTCGCCTTGAATAAAATCGTTATTTTTCCAGTATTGTTCACAGTAACAATGCGGACAGGTCATATGTTGAAAGTTTTTGCTACATAATGCGCATTTTCCTGAGATCCCTTCCTTATAATCATTGTTCTTCCACAAATTAGACCTCTGGCAATGTGCACATGTAAGTTCCGTAAACGTCTTTGAACAATGGTAGCAGTTCACTACTCCTCCAGATATGTAAGACGACGGAAGACTCAGTAGTGTTGTATACAGTGGACAGCATATTTTCTTTGAAAAGGTTCGTAAAAGGATTACGATGAATAACAAATAAACAATCGTTATTCCAAACAAAGGCTTTGCTTAGAACAAAGTGTAACTCAGGTGTGGGATGGATGTGAGAGTGATCGTTGGTCTTCTCTTCAACTACATTCACACCCACACCCTAGCTTTGACCTAGGCTGTAATTTAGTTAAAGTGCAGAATCTTTGCTGTTCTGCTTAGGAACCTTATTGTGCAAATTAGAGACCATGCTGAAACTGAAAGTTAGCATGCCAGAAAAACTATCAAGCCATCGTGAACATCAAAATCTCTGTCGGCAAACTAAATGAACATCAAAAAGGCAGATTTTTACGTTTTTCTGTATCAGATAAAGAGATAGAACCATGTTTCTCACGATATCCTCAATATCTGTTGATAATAAAGTGTCCGAACGGCTCCTGAGTAGTGAAACCGAAGTCTTGAGTAATTTGTATAGTGCCTGCGAGATAGGTATGAATCATGTAAGACGAGAAAACTCCACGATGACTCATGTTGGTCTACCGATCGGTCCAGTTGGACTTGTTGAGATCGGTACCGGTACCGGTTTAGAAAAAACCCTACCGGTTTTAACCATGATTTAGACAAACAACGAAAAACAAAATCTTAAAAAAGTGCGCTTTTTACGATGTTATTCTCTTTAAAATGTTGACCCGTTCTTACACGTTTTTTTGCTGTTGTTTGCATGACTTCGCAGTGCAAATATGAAGTCGAAAGTGCAAGATGCATTTTGCTCCTGCGTAACCTACTTGTGATTGAAAATGTTTTGCGTTTTATCGCATGATAAGATAAATTGTGTTTTTTTTCTTGCAACCAAATGATGTGAGAGAGAACGACAATGTTTATATCTCGAATAAGTGCTTATCAGCCATGGTATATCAGTTTTCGAACATGAACAACAGAAAGAAAGAGAAAAGGAGAGAAACATTTTTCTCACTCACAAGCATCTTTACTGCGTCTATTCATTTTGTCGAATTTCAATCTAGTAGACACATTGATGGGTGGCGATATAATTGGAGAGCTGCCTTTTTTCAGCCATACAACCGACGGTTCTCCTCCATGGGTCGATTCGACTTACAGCGTGACTCAGCCAGAATCGAATTTCGCACAAACACCGGTTCCTATTACCATCCATGATCTAAGGGGCAAAGAAAATAGTTTCAACCTTGACACTCATAGCTTTGAAGTTCAGAAATATGATGGTCTCGTATACGATGAATTCGACAAGGATAGCGAGACACAGCGATCGTACTATGAAGAAATTGCTGCATTCCTCAAAAAACGGCTCAATGCCTCTCGAGTGGTCGTCTTCAATCATGTATTCCGGTGCCGAGACCCATCACCTTCGATCAATAAGGTTGATTTTACTCACAGGTATCCTGCTGTTTATCCACATGTGGATCTTGATGAACCTGGTGTTCGATTAAAAGTGAAAGAAGTCCTTGGGGAAGAAGAAGGGGAAAAATTGATGCAAAATCGATTTCAACTAATTAATGTTTGGAGACTGCTTCATCCCAATACCAGCACAAAGAATTCTCTGACCCTTTGCGACTATCGTTCATTAGATGTCAAGAAGGATATTCATCTGTCAGAGGTTCGAGGATCCAATATTACCTCTTCGTTCTATGTGGTGTCGCACAATGCTCAAGATACTCAAAAATGGTACTATTTGAGTGAAATGCAGTCGGACGATATGTTTGTCTTCAAAATCTTCGATAGCGATCCAAATGTTGCCCGGTTTTGTGCTCACACAGGATTTGTCAACAATCACGTACCTGCAAGCAATGTCAAACGGAGTAGCATTGAAGCTCGCTGTCTTGTTTTTTATGATTAATAGAAAATAAATTAATCGTTTCTGCATTTCGAGTGCTCATGCAGAAACTACATCGATAGAAACAGCATGTTCAGATGTAGATGAGAGTGTGAACATGGATGTGGGTATTGATGTCCTTTATTTATCCTATATTCACACTCATCATTACTGAGGACCTTATCTTCAATATCATGTTTATAAAGTCACTGAAAATTGTTTCTCATTGTTCCAGTGTTCTCTAATGTCAAATCTCAACTGAATAGTATTGCGAACAACTGAAGATTAAAGAAACTTGTTTGGGTGGTGAGTTCAAGAACATTTACAAGTGTTGGAAATATTCATATTTTCGTATCCAGAATTTTTTTCAACATGATACATAGGACAATCAAGAAGTTCTGTTACTTCGCTATATCTATTCGAAGAGACGACATCTCATCCATCTCTCTACACTATATATTCCAGGTAGTTGTTGTAATATTCTACGAAAAGTTTCATCCTTTTAACTCACTCTTTAAATATCTTTTCGAAGTAAACAATAGGGTGTGGATGTGCTGAGGGAGCTATAATAGGACCATATTCACACCTTGAAAAAAAATTAAGGAGCTCCGTGTTTTCACGACATGGTCATCAATGGCAATATCATATAGTTTTTTGTATACGGGTCTTTGCTCAGCTACAGTTCTCAAAACAGATTTCAACATACATCAATAGATGGTAAGCAGATCGGTTTCATTCTTGAAAGTCAAACAAGTCATAATGATGAGTGTTATTTGTGAAACTACGGAATGAATAACAAATGAATCTGACATTGGTCGAAAAGAAAAATGTTGAACAGAGAAAATGTCGAACATGAAAATATTCAAAAAAAAGATGTATAGATAACAATGTTGACTTATTGAAACATGGAAACAATAGAAAATATTGCTTAGGCCACGAAAAAGAATTTAAGATGTTCTATTATATTTATGGAATTGACATCAATGAAAAAAGATGTTTTTTTTTAGAAAGACTAAAGAGGAAAATGGAAAGAAGTTGAAAAAAACACGTTAGCTTGAATTATGCATGTTTCATATCAATTTTTTGATTCCTACGCGATATGACAAATCGGCGAAAGAATTTCACATACTAATCAAGTCATCATTATATCAATCATACAGAGTGCTGATCAATAATGTTACCTAGGACTGTGGATGTGGGAATGGGTGTGGGTGTGGGTGTGGGTATAAGAAAAGATAACACTCACATCCACATCCCACACGCTCACCCACACCCTCCCCCTTGGGATGTGGGTGTAACCATAGGATAGATCAACATTCGCCCACACCCACACCCACACCCACACGCCCACACGCCCACACACCAACACCCACACCCACACCCACACCCATACCCTACACCCACACCCACACCCACACCCACCTATACTCGCACCCACACCTTACACCCTCAGAAGACTTTTTTGTCGACACTTCTCTGATGAATATGAACTATGAACACTTCCTTCTCAGCAGTAAAAAAGTCAACAGATTTGGACCGAGAATGACGGAGATATTCAAAGTTTTCTTCGGTAAAACTACTTTTGAATCATTCTGTATCATGTTTCGTGTCCGATGTTTACAAGGACTAAATAAAGT